TGATTATGTTTTCTTGCCTTGGTGAAGGGAGTTGGACTGGATGGCCTTAAGAATTTTCTGTTGGTCATGATGGATTCTGTGTGGGAAGTTTGCCCCATTTCTGTTGTTTGTGGGGTTCAGAATGCTTTTTGATTGTAGGTGAACTGTGAAATCCCAGTGACTACAACTCCCAAATGTCAAGGTCTATTTCCCCCAAACTCCATCTGTGTTCATATTTGGGCGTATTGAGTGCTTGTGCCAAGTTTGGTCCAGATCCATCATTGTTTGCGTCCACAGTGCTCTCTGGATGTAGGTGAACTACAACTCCCAAACTCAAGGTCAATGCCCACCAAACCCTTCCAGTATTTTCTGTTGGTCATGGGAGTTCTGTGTGCCAAGTTTGGTTCAATTCCATCATTGATGGAGTTCAGAATGCTCTTTGATTGTAGGTGAACTATAAATCCCAGCAACTACAACTCCCAAATGACAAAATCATAATTTTTTGAGTGATGGTCACTCCTTGTGTTGTGAGATGTTTTGTTGCCAAATTTGGTGTGATTTCGTTCATTGGTTCTTTTGTTTTTAAGGTACTCATTATGCACAGAGCATTTATATATATATAGATTTGCAGGGAATACTAAAATAAAACTAAACTTGTATAGAATAAAAATGGGCACAAGGGAAAAGATTAATGCCCATGCCACCTATGCTATCCCATTTCTTTTCTAGTCTGTGTGTGGAATAAGACAGATCTCTAATCCATCAGATTGTAGGAGTAGGATTTTTGTAAGAGGTTCTGTTCCTGTCTTTTCATTCAAAATCAGCTCAGATTTATGCAAGAACTCTCTTTTCTTGTTCTCTCTTCCCAGGATGGGCTGCATCAAGTCTAAAGAACCTAGCCTTCAAAGAAAGACATCCAAAACCAATTCAAGCTCCAGCCTCCAAGGCCATTATGTCAAAGATCCAACATCCAAGCCTTTTATTGTAAGTCCAAAAGTTGGGGAGTGTCTGGGAAGATCAAGGCTGGTGTTTAATTAGGCAGCAACAATCAGGAGCAATAGCAGAGCTACCCCTGTAATGTGATTTTGCATGGTTTTCTAATTGTTTTGCGTAGAGTCCTCTCAGGGAGAATGGGTGGGATATAAATAAATCATCATTATCATCATTATCATTATTTGAAACACAACAAGATGAGTCCACAGCAAACAAGGTCACTCTGCTGGCTGTTGTATTGGATCACACGTCGGACTCTTCCCAAGTGTCTAGGACTATGTGATGTATCGGCGAATAATGCTTGCAGATCCCAGTAGGGTGGCCTTTTGCAGCTGACAGGCAGGGATTTTGTCAGCGCCGATTGTGTTTAAGTGCAGGCCAAGGTCTTTAGGCACTGCACCCAGTGTGCCAATCACCACTGGGACCACCTTGACTCACTTGTGCCAGAGTTTGATCTTTAAATACTTGCATCATGTCAGCTTTTCCAGTTGTTTCTCTTCAATCCTCTTGTTGTCTGGGATTGCAACATCAACTATTATTATTATTATTATTATTATTATTATTATTATTATTATTGATCTTGGAAGGGACACATTGCAATATCTATTATTATTATTATTATTATTATTATTATTATTATTATTGATCTTGGAAGGGACACATTACAAGTTACACCCAGTCTTCCAGATCCAGAGAGTCCACATCCACAGATTTAACTGTCCAATTATGAAACTATTCCAAAATATTGCAAAAAAAGGAGCAAATCTTATCTTTGTTTTTATATAAGGGACACAATGTATTACACCATTGTATGTCATGATACTAAGCATCAATTGAAATGGGTATCTAGAGGGTCCTGGAACCAAACCTCAGCAGACACCAAGGAAACAAATGTCAGTGTTGGGATCCTACAACCCTCTCTTCAATTGAAAAATGTATGATTATGTGGCTTTGGTCCAGAAATGCAAAGAAACCCTGTGCATCTGGACACTGACCAGAGCACTTCAATGTGCATCTGGCTTCTCCGATAAGCGTTGGGTATTTCTGGTGTGCACAGGTCTCTTCTGTTGCACTCCAGTTCTTCCCAACCTGTGTCCAGATAAGCATCAGGGAACACTCAAATGTGCATTGCGTGGCCAGTGTGCATTGCCCTTGGCGCATAGATCACTATAATTGCACACTGGTTATCCATACTTTGTAAGTGGGTGAACATTAACACCATAAAACAACTCAGTTCAATTTTACACCAAGCCTAAATACTCTTAAATCCTGGTTGACCTTGGAAGCTAAGCTGAGATTGCTCTGGTTAGTGCTTGGATGGAAGACCACCGATGAATATGTACATTGGCTTTGTATGTTTATGTGCCTTCAAGTCATCTACTGACTTATGAAGAATTTCATAGGTTTTCCTCAGGCAAGGACTAGCGCAAGATGGTTTGGCCAGTTCCTTCCTCTGAAATTCAGCCTTTAATAATAATCATAATAATAATCATAATAATACTTTATTTATACCCCGCCACCATCTCCCCAAGGGGACTCAGGGCAGCTTACATGAGGCCAAGCCCAACAACACAATCAGGGCCAGCTAATCACCTTCCAATAAAGGATCCTCCCAAGCACGAAGTATAAAATGCCTTGGGTTTGTTAGTGGTTGTAAGAGGGGACTTACATATTTTAAGTCACTTCCTAGCCATTTTATGGAGTAGAAATAAACTTCTCTTAAGTCTAAAATGATAGTGGAAGGGGCCCAAAAATGTGGCAAAAATGCACCCCACTCAGTCTGGAAATCAATGGGAAAACATTTATTCTCTTTCCCATGTTTCATTGCTTCCTCTGGTATACTGATAGATTAATTAAATATCATTTATTTGTTGGCGTTGTCAGACATATACTGAGGTTGATCACCTTAGTCTCCTCACTGCAGTGAGAATGAAGAATGGTAGACTAGCACTTTAGAGATGTGGTCCTCTTCAAATCTGTCAGAATATAGCTCCCATCATCCCCCATCCAATATGGCCATAAGAGTTGGCGTTGAACAGGTCTGAGGGGCACTAGGTTGGGGAAAGCTGCAAAGCACATTCCAACATTTTAAAAATAAATAAATACTCTACTGAGTTTAAACTGTGATCAGCTTAAGAACTAATCTTTTCTGTTGCATCCCAGGTTTGCCAAGCATCCTGCTCAGGGAACCTTCAGGGAAATGATGGTATGTATTGCCTGATTTGGTCAAAGGCAGATCTAAATCAGATCCTTCTTAACACATTGTAAAGACTGGAATTTCCCAAGAAAGATTTGGAGAGTTAAATGGCATATGCAATGGGGGAACCGGTGCTCAGCTAGGGAGATGGAGACTGTCATGGACATGGAATTGGTGGACATTTTAGTTGCCCTCCTTGAACACATTCCAGCTTGAAGAGAGATATTGACAAGCTGGAATGTGTCCAGAGGAGGGTGACTAAAATAATCAAGGGTCTGGAGAACAAACCTATGAAGAGTGGCTTAAAGAGCTGGGCATGTTTAGCCTGCAGAAGAGAAAATTGAGAGGAGACATGATAGCCATGTATGAATATGTGAGGGGAAGTCATAGGGAGGAGGGAGCAAACTTGTTTTCTGCTGTTTTCTGCTGCCCTGGAGACTAGGATACAGAGCAATGGCTTCAAACTACAGAAAAGGAGAGTCCACCTGAACACTAGGAAGAAATTTCTAACTGTGAGAGCTGTTCTGCAGTGGGACTCTCTGCCCAGGAGTGTGGTGGAGGCTTTTAAACAGCGGCTGGATGACCATCTGTCGGGGGTGCTTTGAATGCGATTGTCCTGCTTCTTGGCAGAATGGGGTTGGACTGGATTGACCACAAGGTCTCTTCCAACTCTATGATTCTATGATTCCATGATCTACACTGGGTTTTAGTTCAAACTTCAGAGGAGTTAACCAAGGTGTGGTGGTACGGCTGTACCAAGAGCTCCAACTTCATTTCTTTCTATTGAGTGTTTGCATGCATTCCAAGGTTCTATGCATTTCGCAATAAGGTGGCTTCCCTTGGTTTGCAATTATAGGGCCAATGACCCATCAATCATTGTTAAGTTTTGGTTCCGCCCCTTTCCCCAGGGCTCTGGGAGGAGAGGGAGCCATTTTAGGTCAGTCTTGCATTGGAAATCTTAGCTACAGGGCGTGCATTAGCTCCACCTGTAGAGAAGCTTCATTTCTCACAGCATCCGGGGGAAATTCTGGGGGAAAACAGTTCCAAAGGACTCCAACTGGAGAATCTCCAAAGCCTTGACTGGTAGGTCTACTGGTAGGACCCAAGAAGCAGTTTGGAGCCGGGAGTAGAGCCCACACCAGCAAAGTTTAGAAAGTAGATTGCCCAAGGAGTGGTTAAAAAGGATTTTCCTCTTAAAGAAAAGAAACAGTCCACAAAGCCAGTTGCTTGTCCCTTGTGGACAAGATTAAGAAAGCCACCAGTTGATTCAAAGCCTTGAAGCATTTGTTTAATTTGTTGAAGATCTAAGAAGTATTTGATTGTTTGTTGAAGACTTAAGCAATAATAAAGGACTTTGTTAAACCTTTCAAGCTTCTAAAGACTCTGTATAGGAAAATCTTTAGGGCCTCTCACTCGAGGCACCCCGGCTTCCCGCTGGGCACAAAGAACACGTCCTGTTCAAAAGCCAACTGCTATAGGCCCAGTGCGTGACAGCACACAAGGTGCAGGTCCTACTGCAGAAGATAATGTCCAACCCCTTGGTTGTCTGCTGAAAAGTTCAGAGGGAATTTTCCATTCCATTTGACATAGTATGTACTGGCCTTTACTGTGGATTAAGTTCTCAGCTGCATGTTATAATGCTGATGAGTGGGATATAACGGTTGCATAGAAGTGTTCAAAATAATCATAATTATTCATTCCAAAGTCAGAAATAGGTTTCCCAACAATAAGGAAATTCCATTAGGACTGTGTTTCTCAACCTGTGGGTCGGGACCCCGGGGGGGGGGGTCATGAGGGGTGTCAGAGGGGTTGCCAAAGACCATCAGAAAACAATGTATTGTCGAAAGCTTTCATAGCCGGAATTACTGGATTGTTCTAGGTTTTTTCGAGCTATATGGCTATGTTCTAGAGGCATTCTCTCCTGACGTTTCGCCTGCATCTATGGCAAGCATCCTCAGAGGTAGTGAGGTCTGCTGGAACTAGGAAAATTGGTTTATATATCTGTGGAATGACCAGGGTGGGACAAAGGACTCTTGTCTGCTGGAGCTAGGTGTGAATGTTTCAAGTGACCACCTGGCAGTGCCTGGAGCAATCTTTTGTTGAGAGGTGATGTCCTTGTTTGTTTCCTCTCTGTTGTTGTGCTGTTCTAATTTTAGAGTTTTTTTTTAATACTGGTAGCCAGATTTTGTTCATTTTCATGACCAACACTTTCTGTTGGTCATGGGGGTTCTGTGTGGGAAGTTTGGCCCAATACTGTTATTGAACATATCTAAGACTTGGACATACCTATAGAAGTCTCTAAAAAGCATGATAATATTTGCATTTTTCCACGTTGGCATCAGTTCCTCACCCCTAACCCCACAAAAACGGAAGACCTGCTGAAATAGAATCATAGAATCATAGAATCAAAGAGTTGGAAGAGACCTCATGGGCCATCCAGTCCAAGAAGCAGGAATATTGCATTCAAATCACCCCTGACAGATGGCCATCCAGCCCCTTTTTAAAAGCTTCCAAAGAAGGAGCCTCCACCACACTCCGGGGCAGAGAGTTCCACTGCTGAACACCTCTCACAGTCAGGAAGTTCTTCCTCATGTTCAAATGGAATCTCCTCTCTTGTAGTTTGCAGCCATTGTTCCAATGCGTCCTAGTCTCCAGGGAAGCAGAAAACAAGCTTGCTCCCTCCTCCCTGTGGCTTCCTCTCACATATTTATACATGGCTATCATATCTCCTCTCAGCCTTCTCTTCTTCAGGCTAAACATGCCCAGCTCCTTAAGCCGCTCCTCATAGGGCTTGTTCTCCAGACCCTTGATCATTTGAGTCGCCCTCCTCTGGACACATTCCAGCTTGTCAATATCTCTCTTGAATTGTGGTGCCCAGAATGGGACACAATATTCCAGGTGTGGTCTAACCAGAGCAGAATAGAGCATGGGGAGCATGACTTCCCTAGCTTGGGAAACGGAAGGCAAACTATGTAGTGAAGCCTCTAGTGAAGGTAAACAGTAGAGACTTCTCCTTGGCTTCCTGAAGTACATAGCCTTGCCCTGAAATATCAGACGTTCAGACTTGCAGATTTAACCCTTAAAATAGCCTTTGTGTGCAACTTGAGTGTTGATTTTGTGAGTTCATGCCCTTCCTCGCTCTCACAGGATCGGAAGACTTTGTTGTCCTGGCTCTTTACGACTATGATGCCATCCACAACGAAGACCTGAGTTTTCGGAAGGGAGACCACCTCAAAGTCCTAGAAGAGTAAGTGCCAGTTCCTGGAAGAAGGGGAGAGTTTGTTATGGGAAGCAGAGTCCTCATGACTCTGAGAATCTAATTATTATGTGTCTATATTATGGCACCTCTTACTCTATGGTTTCCTTGGCATGATTTATTCAGAGGAGCTTTGCTGTTGGCTTCCTCCGGGTGTGTGACTTGCTCAAGGTTACCCTCTGAGCATCTGTTATTTCAACTCCGGGCTTTCTGAGTCAGAATCCATTTATTATTTACTTATTTACTTTATTTTTACCCTGCTTTTTATAAGCCCCTGTGTGTCTAACCCAGGCATGGGCAAACTTTGGCCCTCCCTCCAGGTGTTTTGGACTTCAACTCTCACAATTCACCAGCCAACCCCTCTCCAAGGCCAGAAATACAGCATAATGGTGTAACATTAGAAAATGTTGACCATTTCCGCTCTCTTGGCAGCCACCTCTCCACAAAAGTCAACATTGACACTGAAATACAACACCGCCTGAGCTCTGCGAGTGCAGCATTTTTCTGAATGAAGCAGAGAATGTTTGAGGACCGGGACATCCGTAGAGATACCAAGAAGGTGCTTGTTTATAAAGCGATTGTCCTCCCAACCCTGCTATATGCCTGCGAAACGTGGACTGTCTACAGATGTTACACTCAACTCCTGGAATGATTCCATCAGCGCTGCCTCCAAAAAATTCTGCAAATCTCTTGGGAAGACAGGTGGACAAATGTCAGCGTGCTGGAAGAAGCAAAGACCACCAGTATTTGCTTCTTCCAGATTATCTGTCCGAACGTATCTCCTGTTACAAACCATCACGGAGCTTAAGATTGTCAGAGGAGGCCCTGCTCTCGATCCCACCACTTTCGCAAACCCGGTTGGTGGCATGAGAGACAGGGCCTTCTCAGCAGTGGCCCCCCGTCTATGGAACTCTCTCCCTAAGGACATCAGGTTGGCCACCTCGCTCCTGTCCTTTAGAAGACAATTGAAGACTTGGCTTCGGGACAAGTCATTCATTTAGTGGACAGTGGCAATTAGAAAGAAACTTAGGATATCTGCGACATTGGAATTACCCTGACTTAAATAACTGGCATGTTTAATTTTGCTTAATGAATTGTATAATGTGTTTTTAATGATTTTTAATGTTTTAAATGTAATTTTGATTGTTTATATGCTGATAGCATCATATGATGCTTGTGTGACGTCGCCCTGAGTCCCCCTTCGAGGGGAGAAGGGTGGGGTAGAAATGCATGAAATGAAATAAATAAATAAATATTGAAGAGATGCTCCTCTGCCACCAACTTCGCTGGACCACGTCTCATGCCTGTGAGACGTGGACAGTCTACAGACACCATATGCAACTCCTGGAATGATTCCATCAGCGTTGCCTCTGAAAAATCCTGCAAATCTCTTGGGAAGACAAGCGAACAAATGTCAGCATGCTGGAAGAAGCAAAGACCACCAGCATTGAAGCGAAAGTCCTTCGCCATCAACTCCACTGGAATGGCCATGTTGTCCGGATGTCCGACCACCATCTCCCAAAGCAGTTGCTCTACTCCGAACTCAAGAATGGAAAACAGAATGTTGGAGGACAGGAAAAGAGATTGAAAGATGGGCTCAGAGCCAACCTTAAAAAATCTGAAATAGACAACGAGAACTGGGAAGCCCTGGCCCTTGACCGCTCCAGCTGGAGGTCAGCTGTGACCTGCAGTGATGTAGAATTCGAAGAGGCACAAATGGAGGGTGAAAGAGAGAAATGTGCCAAGAGGAAGGCGCAACAAGCCAACCCCAACTGGGACTGCCCTCCACCTGGAAACCGATGCCCTCACTGCAGGAGAACATATATAATCCAGATTATCAAGAATAGGGCTCCACAGTCACCTACGTACTGACCACCAGTACACCGACCTTGGGGGACAATCTTACTCAAACAACAAGGGATCGCCTAAGTAAGTAGGAATTGTGGGAGTTCAAGTCCAAAACACCTGGAGGGAAGGCCCAAGTTTGCCTGTGCTTGTTCTAACCCATCTGAAAGTAGAGTTGCTAATGTTCCCACATGCTTTCTCTTTCTCTCTGTGTGCAGGTCAGGCGAATGGTGGAAAGCCAAGTCACTCTCAACTGGCAAAGTAGGCTTCATCCCAAGCAACTACGTCGCCAGGGTCGACTCACTGGAGACAGAAGAGTGAGTCTGGACATGCAACTGGGCAATAGGAAAATTGGGGTGCCTACCTAGAATCATAGAATCATGGAGTTGGAAGAAACCTCATGGGCCATCCAGTCCAACCCCATTCTGCCAAGAAGCAGGAATATTGCATTCAAAGCACCCCCGACAGATGGCCATCCAGCCTCTGTTTAAAAGCTTCCAAAGAAGGAGCCTCCTCCACACTCCGGGGCAGAGAGTTCCACTGCTGAACGGCTCTCATAGTCAGGAAGTTCTTCCTAATGTTTAGATGGAATCTCCTTTCTTGTAGTTTAAAGCCATTGTTCCATTGCGTCCTAGTCTCCAGGAAAGCAGAAAACAAGCTTGCTCCCTCCTCCCTGTGGCTTCCTCTCACATATTTATACATAGCTACCTGTTTCAATCCTATAGATAGCTGTAATCCAGTAACACTCAGCTGCACTGGGATCATTCTTTAATCTCCAGTCCTGAGAAGAGAGTGCATGCACTGGTTAGAAATACTGATTAAGGAGCAAAAGCGTCAATGCCTTGGAGAAACAATTTTTATTTATTAATTACAGGTAGATAGGGAAGTTACCCAAGGAAGATAATCTAATCTATCTTGATTCTAAGAAAGAGCTGAAAGAGGAGAGGTGGAAAATATCCATATACTATATCACAGAGAGTTCAGGATAAGTAGACAAGAAGGGAAAATGTCTTGGTGACTCACACTATTGAGCCCTATTTCTACTGCTCACTCAGACCCTTTTCTACACTGCCCTATAATCCAGATTATAAAAAAAGATAATCGACATTATCTGCTTTGAATGCGATTTTCCTGCTCCTTGACAGGAGGTTGGACTGGATGGCCCATGAGGTCTCTTCCAACTCTAGGGTTCTGTGATTCTATGAGTCTACACAGCCATATAATCCAGTTCAAAGGAAAATGGTTTAATTTTCTGCCATGTTCCTGAAACATTGAGCTAATTCAATCCATCACCTAACTGTTGCAAATAATAATAATAATAATAATAATAATAATTATTATTATTATTATTATTATTATTATTATTATTATTATTATTATTATTCAGTCCATAGATTTGTGCTGGGGGGCTTAAAGATTTTTAGAGACTTGTGCACATCAGAAATATCCAATTCAACAGTGTCGATCAGGCATGGGCAAACTTGAGTCCTCCAAGTGTTTTGGACTTCAACTCCCACAATTCTTAACAGCCTAGCAGCTGTTAGGAATTGTGGGAGTTGAAGTCCAAAACACCGGGAGGTCCCAAGTTTGCCCATGCCTGGTGTAATGCATCCTATGAGAGGGGAAATCCTGTGCATGAGGTGATCAGAAAAACATCTTGCTCAACGTGTTGTTCTTTGAATGTGGCTTCTCAGGTGGTTTTTCAAAGGCGTCAGTCGGAAGGATGCAGAGCGGCAGCTGCTGGCCCCTGGGAATGTTATTGGCTCCTTCATGATCCGAGACAGTGAGACCACCAAAGGTAAAAATGGCTTTCACCTCTAAAATTCACGGGCAGCAGGTGCCAGGTTACTCGGTTACTATAAACAATTGGGATAAAGGGATGCTCTTTAGTTTGAGGAGAGACACAATATGGGAAGGGAAGAGTTAAGGGGATATGTTCTAATTTTAGTATATGTGCTTCCGAAGGGAAGTTAAGAGGACCCCATCCTCTCCTTTTGATAAAGCTGGGAGGGAGGATATATATATATATATCCGTATATACTCGAGTATAAGCCAACCTGAATATAAGCTGAGGCACCTAATTTTACCACAGAAAACTGGGAAAACATATTGACTCAAGTATAAGTCGAGGGTGAGAAATGAAGCCGCAACCTGTAAATTTCAAAATAAAAACAGATAACAATAAAATTACATTAATTGAGGCATTAGGAGGTGAAATGGTGTTGAATATTTACACAAAATTGTAATTTGAGGTAAGACTGCCCAACTCTGATGAAATCATTATTCTAATCTTCAATGTAAATAAATGTATTTACGTATCCTTCCAACAATAATAAAGAGAGTAAAATAATAAATGTAATAATAATAAAGTAAAATAATGGAAATGCAATAATAACAGTAATAATAGAGTAAAATAATAAATGTCATTATAGATTAAAGTAATAAATGCAATAATAATAAAGTATAATAAATGTAATAATAATAATCGTAATAATAGAGTAAAATACTGTAAATGTAATAAAATAATACATGACATAAACATAATACTAATAACAGAATAAAATAATAAATAACCTTGACTCGAGTATAAGCTGAGGGGAGCTTTTTCAGCCTAAAAAAAGGGGCTGAAAAACTAGGCTTATACTCGAGTATATACAGTATATATATATACACACACACATACACATACATACACACACACACACTATATTGGGCCCCTTAGTGGTGCAGCGGGTTAAAGCACTGAGCTGCTGAACTTGCTGACTGAAAGGTTGGCGGTTTGAATTTAGGGACCAGGGTGAGCTCCTGCTGTTATCCCCAGCTTCTGCCAAAGTAGCAGTTCAAAAACATAGAAAAATTAGTATATCAATAGGTACCACTTCTGCGGGAAGGTAACGGCCCTCCATGCAGTCTTGCTGACCATATGACCTTGGAGGTGTCTGTGGACAATGCTGGCTCTTTGCCTTAGAAATGGAGATGAGCACCACCCCTCACAGTTTGACATGACTAGACTTAATGTCAGGGGAAACCTTTACTTTTACTTTCATAGAATCATAGAATCATAGAATCAAAGAGTTGGAAGAGACCTCTTGGGCCATCCAGTCCAACCCCCTGCCAAGAAGCAGGAATATTGCATTCAAATCACCCCTGACAGATGGCCATCCAGCCTCTACTTAAAAGCTTCCAAAGAAGGAGCCTCCACCACACTCCGGGGCAGAGAGTTCCACTGCTGAACGGCTCTCACTGTCTGGAAGTTCTTCCTAATGTTCTCATATATCAAAATATTTGTATTTTCCAGGATCTCGGTGCACCATTTTAAAAGGCTCATTTAAAGCAGTGTAAACTCTTAAGTGATTTTAAAAGGCCAAAATCATATGAAACAATTTAACAAAAAAATGGGTTGCTGTTAGTTTTTTGGGCTGTGTGGCCATGTTCCAGTAGAACTCACAGCAACCCAGTGATCGCGGTCATGAAAACCTTTGACAACACATTAAAACACAATGTTGAAACTTGTTAAAACAGTTGAACATGATTTCAAACAATATATCTGTGAGGGTTTGTAAAGCCAATTAAAAACCGGAAGCTGAGTATGGAGTCACATTGGAAGACCTAGAAATACTAGAGAAGTATTTTCCCTAGGAATTTCCTAGGCCTTTCAGGCAATTCCATATTAGGCTTTCTCCAGAAGCTATTAATTGCTATTATTTTGGTTTTACACTTCCAGGAAAATGCCCCCTACGCATGTGGGGGTCGTATTGTAGATCCTTATGAAAAAGATTTCCATGGTCTGAGAGACTGGAGAAAACATTGTCCTTTTCCTCTTTTCACAGGGAGTTACTCCTTATCTGTAAGAGATTTTGACAACAGCAGCAGGGTGGACATCGTGAAGCATTACAAGATCCGGACGCTGGACAGCGGGGGCTTCTACATCTCCCCTCGGAACACCTTCAGCAGCCTCCAGGAATTAGTTGCCCATTATAAAGGTAAGAACACCTTGGTAATTTGGGGTGTTCTTTTCATGTTTAGAATTAGGACTCATAACCCAACTTAAACATATTGTCAATCTCTGATAGATGGTACGGATGTTAAGGAGGCTGTCCAAGTCCTGAACCAGTGCCTGGCCGCTGTGACCATCATCCAGATGGTCACAGCAAATTGAAGTTGAATCCAGACAAGATAGAGGTCCTCCTGGTCAGTCACAAGGCCGAATAGGGTATAGGGTCACAACCTAAGCTGGATGGGGTCACACTCCCCTTGAAGGCACAGGTTTGCAGCTTGGGGGTCCTCCTGGACTCATCACTGAGCCTGGAACCCCAGGTTACAGCGGTGGCCAGGGGAGCGTTCGCACAACTAAAACTTGTGCGCCAGCTGCACCCATACCTTGGGAATTCAGACTTGGCCATGGTGGTCCACACTCTTGTTACATCTAGGATAGACTACTGCAACACACTCTACGTGGGGTTGCCCTTGAAGATTGCTTGGAAGCTTCAAATAGTCCAATGAGAGGCAGCCAGGTTAATAACTGGGGTGGCATACAGGGAGCACACAACTCCTATGTTACGCCAGCTCCACTGGCTGCCAGTTTGCTACCGGGCACAATTCAAAGTGCTGGCTTTGGCCTATAAAGAGGAAGAGCTTGAAGACCTGGCTGTTCCGATGTGTCTTTCCAGAATAGGAAAACTCCAGCAATATGTCCCAGAAGCACTTTATCGGAGTTCAAAGATTGCCTGCACACTGCACTTACCCTAAATTCCGACATACCATCTGTCACACCCAGCACTTTTTAATATGTACCCATCACATTTGGCTCGGCCCTAGTTTTATTGTGTTATGGTGTATTGTTTTTTATTGTTTTGTTATTGCTTTAATGTTTTGAGTTGCTTTAAGTTGTGTATTCGTTATGTTGTTGTTTTATTGAGGCCTTGGCCTTTGTAAGCCGCATCGTGTCCTTCGGGAGATGCTAGCGGGGTACAAATAAAGTTAATAATAATAAATAATAATAAAGCCCTGAACGGCTCCGGCCCAAATTACCTGTCCGAAGGCATCTCTCCCTATGAATCATAACAGAGATTAAGATTCTCCGGGGAGGCCCTGCTTTCTGTCCCGCTAATGTCACAGGCGCGATTGGTGGGGACGAGAGACAGGGCCTTCTTGGTGATTGCTCCCCGGCTATGGAACTCCCTTTCTGGTGAGATCAGGTCGGCCCCCTCTCTCCTGTCCTTTAGAAGGATGGTCAAAACTTGGCTGTGGGACCAAGTGTGATGAAGTGTAATTTTTTATCTACAGTTATGTATTGTTATAGATAGCCTCTGTGTATGTCTGTATATGTTTGTATGTCAAAAAATGGCATTAAATGTTTGCTATATATATGTACACTGTAATCTGTCCTGAGTCCCCTGCGGGGTGAGAGGGGCGGAATATAAAAGCTGTAAATAGATAGATAGATAGATAGATAGATAGATAGATAGATAGATAGATAAGTGTTTGTGAGGATAAGTATATAATGTTGCATAGTATTGGGGGATGGTAGCCAGCTTAGCTCGCTTTGAGCTGAGTTGCTATGGAGATAGGGGCGGAGCCAACTGCCACTTGGCAGAGCAGCCATTTTAAAGCAGTCAGTCTGTGGTCGGTGAACTGCAGAGGTGGTTGGTTCTGTTGTATGTGGTGAACCAGTGAGGATTTTGTAGTTAAAGAATGACAGGGGAAGGCTGATTTTTTGGTATTAAGAATCAGGAAGGTTTTGGCTTTGAGCCAATATAGTTTAGATAAGTCGAGTGACTTATTTATCTCAAAAGTAACGGTTGTGGAAAAAGAGGAGAAGCCCTAATAAGCATCTTGATTGTAACAGAACCGTCATAAATAAATAATAAGCGTGTGCCTGAAACAATCTGTTAAAGAAAGAAACATCTTTTTAAAAGAACTAAGTGTCAGGTTTTACAATGTATTGTAATGTAATATAGCTGAGTCATGCACTGCTAATGGGCTTCTATTGGAAATACTGAGTCATGCATTAACTGTTATAGGGAATCATTTGGGGAATGTGTTCTGGCCTAGTCCAGGTGATTGTGAATGATGTAATCCTGGGTCTGAGTTAAGTTAATGAGTTGGGAACCAATCAGAGACTGCTATGTGTAATTGTATAGAATTGTATATAAGGAAGTCATGTACAGTGTATATTTCTCCTTGTGCTGTGAAGTTGTTCGTCGAAGGCTATATGTAATTAAAAGAACCTGTCTGCTAAGACAAGATGTAACTGTATGCTGTGATAAGTTTGTAATGTCATCTAGACTGGGGAAAAGACAATGGTAAAACTGACAATGGCCGGACATGTGCTCAAGTGTCTGTAAAAGAGTTCCAGAGTGACTGCAGTTTGTGGGAGCAGTTGACTGAAAATACTGTGCAGGAAGAAGCTACTGGAAAGCACTGAAGTTGTGCAACTGATCTGCTGCTGAATTGTGAAGTTAATCTCAACACTAAGTTTGAGGCTTGTTTGTTAGAAGAATTAGACCTCCTAAGAGTTATTTAAGAACTGTTTTGAATGTAACCTTTGAAGATCTGTACCTCTAAGAGAAAGGACACTTTGAAACCATCAAGCTTCTGTGCCTCAATAAACGTATTACAGTTTCTTTTTAAAGTCAAGCCTATGTTACCATTCCTTTCCAAGTCAAGTCACGCTACATATTGAAGAAAGACCAAATCCATATTACAAGTTATTGGTTGTGCTATCAATTTAATAAGCCCTCACAAAGAGGTGTCTCCTTTTACCAACACTCTTTGCATGTTGGTAGCAATTATATTTATACATCCTTACAATTTGGTGGCATCGTTGCAGATTAGTGCCCAAGCCTTTACAATTAATAGCACTAATATACAGGCTCCTTCACACCAAGCTTTCGGGACAGGGCAAGAAAGTAACAATAGGAAAGATTACCAGGCCAATTAGACTTGATGTGGATGACTAGGACAGTTTTAATATTTTGATAAATGTTTTTAATGTTTATGTATGTATATAAAAATTTGTGTTGCATTGAATGTTTGCCGTATGTATGCTGTGCTCTGCCCTGAGTCCCCTTCGAGGTGAGAAGGGCGGAATATAAATGTTTTTAAAAAATAAATAAGTAATGGACAAAGCTCTTTGCTTGCTTGTTTGTTGATGTATTGTTGTATTCGTATTTGACTGGCTTGGCTTCATGTAAGCCACCCCGAGTCCTTTTGGGGAGATGGTGGCAAGGTATAAATAAAGTTTTTATTGTTGTTGTTGTTGTTGTTGTTGTTGTTGTTGTTATTAAAGCTAGAAAGTACGCAAAGACTAGACATGCTGCTGACTCTCAGGACTGAAAACCATCAGCATCCGGTAGAGGCAAATGAGGACCTGTATCTAGTCAACCTTTTTAGGTGTATATCACTTCTATTCCTCCTTGATCTCTTTCAGGCCAAAGCGATGGGCTTTGCCAAGTGCTGACCAACCCGTGTGTTGCGCCAAAGCCTGAGAAACCTTGGGAGAAAGATGCCTGGGAAATCCCCCGGGAATCCCTGAAGCTGGAGAAGAAACTGGGAGCTGGACAGTTTGGGGAAGTCTGGATGGGTAAGAAGAAGACACAACTGGTTGTTGGCCTTGTACTACAAGAAATGCAGTACCCTAGGCATGGGCCAACTTGAGCCCTCCAGGTGTTTTGGACTTCAACTCCCACAATTCCTAACAGCCTACCCAGCAACCAGAGATAGTGAAACAAGTTCTCTTGGGAATCAGCCTATGGCCGATGGGGAGTTTTCTCATGAGGACAGATTAGGTTTGAGAATGAAAGGAGTGAAGAATAGTCTAATTCAATTGTCTGAGAGAATGTGAGAAGACCTTGAAGTCCAGGTGCATTCGGCATGACCTCATGGCTACTACCTTAAATTAAGTGATGTTGGCCTTACAATCTCAGAGGAGACAACGTTGCCAAAGGATGGCTGTCTCAGCTCTCAAGTTTCCAGTATCTTCAAGTTTCCTGTTCAAGTTCATGCCTGTGTTTCCTGGAAAGGTTTACCTTGGAAAAGTTCTTGCTGCCTTATTTATGGGTTTATGCTTGCAGTGTCGCTGTGGATTTTGGGGTTCTTCACTTTATCTACTCTGACTTTTTTTGGATTCCTGCTACTTCTGTATTTGCTATTTTTCTGACTCTTTTGGAATCGCCTTTCCCCCTTTTGCCTGCTTTCTTTAATAAACGTTCTTAGATAGAACTCTTGGTCTCAGGTGTGGTGCTGGATGAAAAGGTGTTTCATTGCCAAAGTGCAACATTGGCCAAAGATTCACACAGGTGGACCTAAATATTCATAGGCTGGGACATTGAAATCAAATCTGTGAATAACCAAATCCACCAAATTTAAAACCACAAATTTGGGAGGATGGCTGTATTGTGATCCTGTAAGTGTATTCCAGGGAGATCCTGTGTGATTCTGCCATTTTGCAGCATCCCTTTCTCTCCTCCAGCCACCTACAACAAGCACACAAAAGTTGCCGTGAAGACCATGAAGCCGGGCAGCATGTCCGTGGAAGCCTTCCTGGAAGAGGCCAACATCATGAAGACCCTGCAGCATGACAAACTGGTCAAGCTGAATGCTGTCGTGACCAAGGAAGAGCCTATTTACATCATCACAGAATTCATGGAGAAAGGTAAAGACCCAGGACTGGGGATAGTTGATCTGGGGTGGATATTTTTAGCTTGGAAGCCACTTCGGGTCCCATGGCATATAAACAAATAGTTCAAAAGGAAGCTTTTGGGATATGGCTATAGAGCTTGGAAAGGATGCATTTTGGATGAGAATTCCTAGATTCCACTGAAGATTTGGAAAGTGGTACATGTTGACTCTCCCTTATCTAAATGTTTGGGACCAGAAGTGTTTTGGATTATTTCAGATTATGGTATATTTACATACATATAATGCATATAATGCGATCCCAGGATTCTATAGGATGGCATCATGGCAGTTAAAGTGGTCTCAAGCTGCTATAATTCTGCGCTGTGGACGGGAGGCGAGTAAAGGCACTGCCCTTGCTCCAAATTGGCTTGAGGCATGATCTCAGGACTGGCTTCATGATGCCTTCATGAAGCTGAAAACACAGCCTTGCTTCCTATCCTAAATACACTCATTCCAGCAGCTACTTTTTCCTTCTGTATAATGGAGGGCCTCTGTCCTTTGTTAACTATGTGTACAAATGTGCGTGTGCCACGGAAACTGTGCCGAGAGCAGCCTGTAGGAAGAGATAATAGAAACCAAACAGGAAGGGGAGGTAATTCAGATAGACCAGAATGAAGGGGATAAAAAGGATAACTCGTGCTTTGAAGGAGTCTTAATGCTTGAAGGATTTAGGCTGCCATTCACTTTGCCTGAGAGCATCTCCCTTGGAGTACTAAATTTAAGCTGCTTTCCCACAATGAATTGCAAAATTCCTTGCATGATTTAGGCCAGGAAGGAACCCAAGATGGCCTTCCAGAACTTGTTCAGCTGCAAGTCCCATCACCCCTGACTTGCAAAGCCCATATTGAAGCATGCTGTGAATTGCAGTCCAGCACCTTGTGGTTTGTAATTCCCATACAATGTGAATTAGGATGAGAAAATTGCTGTGGTTGGGCTTTCAGAAAGCCCTGTGGACAAGTGAGGGAGGCAACTTGCCCCTTTTAAGCAATGGAGGGGATTATAATTTTTTCTTGTAAGTAACAAGCTGAAAGCTAGTGCCTGCCACTGTATTCATTTCCTCCACATTTCCTTGTGTTGCACTCCAGAACAGGAAAAGCCCTCTGACTTTAAACACCACACAATTGAGTAGGGAAACAATCCTTTTATTGAATATAATTAAAGAGCAGTAAAGTAAAAAGCACTTTAAATAAATAGGTAAATCCAATTAAGTAAAAAGATAAGCAACAACAAAGTAGTTCAGGGTAATAGTCCAGCAAAGTCCATAAAAACAAAGTCAAAACTTCCCAAACAAAATGCAAGAAATCAGGAAACATGAATCCAAGGCATGAATATAAAAGCATAGAATCTAAGAATCAAAGCCATGAAACAAAAGGCTCTTAAACATGAATCTTTCCAAGCAGAGCTTCCATGAAACAAGGACAAGATCTTGACTTGATTCCAAACGATGCTTCATCTGACTACATATCCTGTACTTGGGACTTTTATCTCCTTGTTAGCTATGTCTCTAGCACTCAGAAATTAGCTTTAGCTGAGAGTCTTTTATCTTTTTCTCTCAGAGCCTGGCAGAACACCGAAGCCACTGTTCGGCTTTTCTGTTTTGACTAATCTCCTCCCGTCTATCTATTTTCTCATTAATTTCTGCAGCTGGGCCATGTACCAAGCCGTTTTCAAATTCCAAATCATGGGAACTCTCTGGTAGCAATTCAGGGAGCACACCATCATCCCCACACCCTACAGGGACATTCTCATGGGAAACTACACTTTAAACAGGGATCTCCTGGTCAATCTCTGCATCAATATCATTGACCAAACCATTGCCATCTTGAAACTCATTGACATCACTCTCCACATCCAAAGCTCTCTGATCCTGAAACACAATCACAGACTGAGCTCCAACACTGCTTCTTCGATGAGATGCTGCAAAACGTTTGCTGCTGAGGATTATTTTAAGGATTATTTTAAAATATGTAGTGGGACAAAACCGTGCAGTTGGGAAAAAAGTGTAGTTGGGCAATGATAAGATGCCTTTGGGTTGGAAAGCATGCCTCTGTCAATTTTGGATATTACTTGAAACAGTTATCACTTATACCAGTACTGACTTCATTCCTGTTTCTTATTTTTGGAAAAAATAACTTGGCCATGTCCTCATTGTCCAAAGAAGTAACTAGAACCAATAACACATTGCTTCAAAGGTCTGATTGCATACAAGGCAACTGCATTCCAGACATTTGCATGACTGGCAGGCAGCAGTTCTCCATGGAGAAAGATTTCAGATACTTTCTGTGTCAGAAATATTAAAAATTAATCACAAAAATGTGAGTCAAGCATTGAAAGAGTTAAATGGATGCAATGACTCAGCAAAAGCTGCAGTTCTATCCAAGCAGGTGTGCCTATAGCTTAGTAGCTGTCAGTCTGAGGTAAACCTCAGTGGGAGAAAGGTTTCACTCTGTGAGAAGGCCTCACAGTATGAGGTAGGCCTTAGCCTGTGAGAGAAGCCTCTGTAGGGCTTAGTCTGTGAGAGAAGGCCTCACAATGTGAGGTATATCTTAGTCTGTGAGAGAATGCCTGACAGTGTGAGGTAGGCCTTTGTGTGAGAAGCCTCTGTGTGAGGTAGACCTTAGTCTGTGAGAGAAGGCCTCACAGTGTGAGGTATACCTTAGTCTGTGAGAGAATGTCTCACAGTGTGAGGTATGAGGTAGGTCTTAGTCTGTAAGAGAAGGCCTCACAGTGTGAGGTAGGCCTTTGTCTATGTGAGAAGCCTCTGAATGGGGTAGACCTTAGTCTGTGAGAGAAAGCCTCACAGTGTGAGGTAGACCTTTGTGAGAGAAAGTCTCACAGTGTGAGGTAGGCCTTAGTTTGTAAGAGAAGGCCTCACAGTGTGAGGTAAGGCTTAGTCTGGGTGAGAAGCCTCTGTGTGAGGTTGACCTTAGTCTGTGAGAGAATGCCTCAGTGTGAGAGAAGGCCTCACAGTGTGAGGTAAGCCTTAGTCTGTAAGAGAAGGCCTCACAATGTGAGGTAGGCCTTAGCCTGTGTGAGAAGCCTCTGTGTGAGGTTGACCTTAGTCTGTGAGCGAAGCCTCTGTGTGAGGTAGGCCTTAGTCTTAGAGAGCCCTCAGTATGAGAAGGCCTCATGTGTGAAGCTCCAGTGTGAAAGCTGAACTTTATTTGTGTTATGGAAACCTTGTTTTTGTAAATAGTGCAACCGTACTATTTTGCTATAAAGAAAAGTCTCCTATGGAAAAGATAACATTGGTCTATGTGGTTTTGTTCTTGTTATCACTTTGGGCTACTGGTGCTGGTCACACTGCTGCTGATAAATTTCTCTGCTGTACATTTCTGAGGAGGGTCTTTTGTTAATAAGCCCACTCGCTCAACATTCTTCTCCCTTTAAAAGTTTTGCTAGGATTTGAATCAGAGCATATATGAATTTACTAGATCTTGGAAATATAAAGACAAGAGGTTACAACAACTCAGAGAATCTCACCAGCCTCATAAAGATTCTGAGAGTTGGCATTTCTGGTTCTGCCAGTCAATTGTGATCCAGAGGTTGTTTCCTGTTCGTTTTCCTCTTCTTCTGATGAAATAGACTGAACTGCACCCAAATTGGTCTTGTTTATCTTCAAGAGGTCTCTTATTTCTCGTTTCCTCCCTATAGGAAGCTTGCTGGACTTCCTGAAAAGCGATGAAGGACATAGCGTGCAGCTACCAAAATTGATTGACTTCTCTGCCCAGGTATGAGGCTGCTGCAGGATCCCTCGCTCCCATTGGAGATTGGCATTGATAAATTGTAAAAATATAGAGTTGAAGGGACCACTAGAGTAATATAATCATAGAGTTAGAACAGACCCCAAGAACCATCCAGTCCAACCCCCTTCTGCCATGCAGGACACAATCAAATCACTCCCAGCAGATGGTCACCCAGTCTCCTCCAGAGAAGGAGACTCCATTACATTCCAAGGCAGCAAATTCCACTGATGAACAGCTTTTAACATTCATAAGGTTTTTTTTCCTAATGTTTAAGTGGAATCTATTCCTTCAATTTGTATTCATGGCTCCATTGTGTCCTGGCCTCTAGAGAAGCAAAAAGTAAGCTGCCCCCCTCTTTGCTGCACACTCTACGCAGGACATAATTTGATGCATCTCTATCTTACTTCCTCTTACTTCCCTTTTTTCTAAGATAAGCAACCACCAAATGTTTTAACCTTTGCACACGGTGGAGCTGTTACAGTTCCTCAAACATTTTGGCTGTCAAAACGCTCCTGTCCGAGGTTTCTGACCAGGTTCTTTCCCAGCCTGAGATGGAGAAGCTGGTGGCTGAATCTTGTACCACATTCTGCACGCAAAAGTAGTGCGTGCAGAATTTTGCCACCTCCCAAAAAACCCTTCCATGTTATTCATTCAGTGTCCATTTCCCACTTTAGTTCAGTTTCCATTCCTCTGTCAGTGATGAGACAAATCCACTTTGGGTTTCGGTCTGAACTTTAAAGGAACTGTCCAAATCAACAAGTCTATATGAGTGGAGATGAATGCATTTTAGCTTGGAGAATGAGTCAAGCCCTGGAGACCTGGTTCAGCCATGGAAAGTTAGTGATCTTCGCAATCGCATCTCCATCTAATTGTGCCTTGCTTTTGTAAGCCGCTTTGAGTCCCCTCCAGGGTGAGAAGGGCGGGGTAGAAGCAACCGAAATAAATAAATAAATCTATGAACCAGCACAAACTCTAAGATCCTTCAGGGAGGCCCTCCTCTCGCTCCCACCATCGTCAAAAGCACAGTTGGTGGGGATGAGAGAGACGGCCTTCTCGGTGGTGGCCCCCCCGCCTCTGGAATGCCCTTTCAAGGGAAATAAGACAGGCCCCATCCCTCCCCTCTTTTCATAAAAGTTTGAAGACTTGGTGGTTTCAACAAACCTTTGAGAGTGACCTGACACTGTCCGGACACGACCTAGCCCCCTACATATTACCCTGGTCATTCTCCTAATAGGCCCATGGAAACAGCCCGTCCCTGCTTTTGTCATTTACTTATTACAGTACTGTACCCAAATGCCGGTCCCATCTTATTTCAATTTGTATCAGTCTTGACCCAGCCTTTTTTAATTGTTTTGACCCATTCCTTTTCCATGCCCTAACAAATAGACATGAAAAGCAGGCAGGATTTTTTTCTTTTAATATTTATGTGTTGTTGGGTAATTCCATGCTTATGATGCTGTTATGGTTATTTTTTTGTTCATATTGTGACTCTGTATGTTTTGACGTTGTTGCTTGGAAACCGCCCTGAGTCCCCCCGGGGAGATAGAGTGGTATATAAATACAGTTTTATTATTATTTTTTTATTAGTGGGTGATATATAGCAAGTCGCTCGCTCTCTCAACCTCAAAGGGTAGCAAAGGCAAACCTTCTCTGAAGAAATCCAGCCAAGAAAACCCCATGATTGTGACTGGGCCAGGCTATAGCACAGCTGGTTAATCACCAGCAGCAATAGATCACACTATCCGAAAGGTTGGCAGTTCGAAGCTTGGGTCGGTGAGCACCCAGTCTTCTGCCCAGCTCACTGTCCACCTAAGCCAGTGGTTCTCATCCTGTGGGTCCCCAGATGTTTTGTCCTTCAACTCCCAGAATCCCTAACAGCTGATAAACTGGCTGGGTTTTCTGGGAGTTGTAGGCCCCCAGGATGAAAACCACTGACCTAAGCAGTTTGAAAACAGCTGTGGGCTCTGAGTGATTAGGAAATACCAGAAAATGCCTGTGATCAAAGAAAGGAGGAAGTGTGTGATCAAAGGCCCTTCATCATAGAGGATGGAGCAAGACCCTGTGGCCAGAATCAAGCACAACCTCCAGGATATCGAAGTTGGGAAAAATGCCAACATATACCTCTATCTGTTGTTTGTTGTGTCTGTTGAATGGCATTGAATGTTTGCAGTGTATGTGTTCTGTGGTCTGCTCTGATTCCCCTTCGGGGTGAGAAGGGCAAAATATAAATGCTGTTAATTAATTAATTAATTAATTAAGATCACAGTAAATTGGAAAACATTTGAATGCACACAAGAGTTCAGCTCCTTGGCTGTAAAATATACATAAAATATTATAATGTAATGCAATATAATACTAATACTGTGCTGTCACACGCTGGGCCTGTAGCAATTGTCTATTAACAGGATGTGGTCTCTATATGCCCAGCAGGACTCCCGGGGTGCCTCAGCTGAGAGGCCCTATGGATTTCCCTATACAAAGTCTTTAGAAGCTTAGAAAGTTTAACAAGGTTCTTTATTAATGCTTAAATCTTCAACAAATCAATCAAATACTTTAAAACTCTGGAAAACTGGTAGCTTTCTTAATCTGCCCACAAGAGACAGGCAACTTGCTTCAAGAACTGTTTCTTTCTTCTATAAAGGAAATCCTTGACTCTTCCCTGGGCAATCTGTTCTTAGGCTGGCGTGGGGCCCTACTCCCGGTTCCAATTTCCTTTATGTGTAACCCGAGTAGACCTTACCGGCCAAGACTTCGTAGATTTTCCAGTTGGTGTCCTTTACCTTCCAGCAAAGCTGGCTGTATTTCTTAGTAAAGCTGTAGAACTGCTTTCCCTCGAAGTTTGTGAGAAACGAAGGTGGGAGAATCTACACACGTCCTGTTGGAAAGGCTTCTCCGTGATAACTGAGCTAAAGGTCCCTTTTCCCTCCAAAACCCTGGGGAAAGGGGCGGATCTAAAGGCTGCAACAGTGATTGACAGGTTGCTGGCCCTATTACTGCAATTTGGAAGAAGCTACCAAATTGCAAAGTGCATAGCCTTCAGGAATTCATGCAAACAAGCAAAAAAAAGAAAAGAAAAAGGGGATTCAAACCCCTGGCACAGCCGTGCCAGAACAAATACTAATAACAATAATATGATATTATGATTATATATTTATATTACATGTAATATTACTAATAATATTACAATATAATGTTATAGTACAATATAGTAATATATAATACTGATATTGTACTATGCTAATAACATAATATATTGCATGTATATATATCTTGTAAGCCGCTCTGAGACCCCTTCAGGGTGAGAAGGGTGTCATATAAATATCGTAAATAAATAAATAAATAAAATTCAGACTGAAATGCAAAATTAGTTTACTACCCAAGCACTGCTGGCATTTCAGATAGAGATAGATAGATAGAGAATATATTAATTAAAGGGGCAAAAGGTTTGGCGAAACGCAGCCTAAGACGCTAAAAGCAGCAGAGCTCATAGTATTTGCATATACAAAGCTGCCTTCCCTTTGCAGTGGGTCTATGTGAGGATGCGTTGTGTAATTTCTGTGGGACAGGCAACCTGGAACAAGTCCAAGGGGCTTTCCTCCTTTTCGATCTAATTCTCTCCAAAGGAGGAACTGTTCTCACTCTAATCTTGGAACAAACAGCCCTTTGTTCCTTTGCCCTGACGGTGTTTTTCTTCCTCCCATCAAAGTCAACATTCAAAGGAGCAGGTGCAGCCACGGCCAGCCATCCATCCATCGTGTTTAGCTTGGCTGAACTGACAGTTAACTCCTTCTTCCTTCTCATTTTCAACACTTCACGGACTTAGAATTACACAGATGAAGGGTACCCCAAGAGATATCTAGTCCAACCCCATTCCACTCTGCAGGAAGGCACAACTAAAGCACTCCAGAAAGATGCCCACCTGACCTCTGTATAAAGACCTCCAAAAATGAAGAACTGCTGCTACCGTCTGAGGCAGCGTGCTCCACAACTGAACTGTTCTTACAGTAAAGCAAGTCTTCTTAACGCTTAGGTGGAAACTCTTCTCTTGCCATTTGAATCCACGACTTGGCATCTTAGGGTGCATCTATGCTGTAGAACGAATGCAGTTTGATCCAACTTGACCTGCTGTGGCTCAATGCTCTCGGATCCTGAGAGTTGTAGTTTAGCAACCTTGAGCTTTTTCTGCCGGAGAGTTTTGATGCCTCACCAGACTACAAATCCCAGGCATTCATAGCATTGAGCCATGGTGGTGGCTTCTTCTTTGGAGGCTTTTAAACAGAGGCTAGATGGCCATCTGTCAGGGGTGCTTTGAATGCAGTTTTCCTGCTTTTTGGCAGAATGGGGTTGGACTGGATGGGTCACCAATTCTAGGATTCTATGATTCTATGGAAGTTAATGTGAAGTTAATTCTACAGTTCACATGCACCCCCAAACTTCAAAGAAACGGAAAACTATCTTCCTCCCTTCAAATCTTTTGAGATCTTTTAAGATAAACCAGATGCTCGTGTTGCAACGATGTAGTAATGGTGAGGCCACGGTGTCAAGACCCAGATGCTTGCAAACAATGCCAGGCACAAAATAAAGGTTCAAACACAGCTTTATTGAAAGCAAAAGAACCAAAAACGCACTTAACGGTAGGGCAGAAGGTCCAATGAGTAATTTGGCACCAAAAATGACTCAATAGGGCAAACTGAAATATAATCTGGATTATAGTGTAGACTCTTAATCCGGATTAAACTAAAAATGCAGCAATTCGCTTGAAAATCAAAACAGAGCACAAACACAGTCTTTAAAGCTGGAAAAATGTATTTTCATAACAAAAAGTAGTTAGAGTCACTAAGATATTAATAAGCAAAGTCCAGAAATCCTGAAAGCGAAGTCAAACCGGTCCGTGGTCAATCCAAAGTAGAGTGAAGCTGAAACGCTGGAAACGCTGGAGAAACCGAGGTTCAGGAACACACGAGGCTAAAGCCCAGGACTCAAGGGTGAGAGTTGGCAGTACAAAGAATACGTCCCATAAGACACTTTGCTTCCTGCAACTAAATGTGCCAACAGAACCCCCTTATATCTCACAAATCATCACCAGAGCTTGATGAGCTCCCCACCCTCTCGTCATCACTATCACCTGCTCCCAAAGCCGCAGCTGAGTGCCCATCCCTCCACCTCTGCCAATTATCATTGGTGTTTAGATCCTGCCAAGAATCTCCTGGCTGCCAGTCCCCAGTGAACCCCTCAAATTCCTCGCTAGAGGTGGGCTGGTTGCAGATGTCCCTTATGTTTTGCACACGGGTCCAATCCAACTCTTCCCCCTCCATGCTACTCTCAGCCCCAGAACTCTGTTCAAAACCCAAAAAGTCGTCTTCATCGGTTGGTGCACAAAGTATCTCCCGAATACACTTCCTTTGCAATTCCCCCTATGACTCTGGCTCACGAGCAGTTCTCTTTACTCCTCTACTCCCTTCCCCACTCTCCATGTCGTAATCTGAGAAGCCAGGAAACGTATCGGAATCACTTGGAGCCATGAGGATTTCTCGAATGCGCTGACGCTGCCGCTCTCCCTCTGACTCCCGAGGAGACCTTTCCCCTCTGCTACTAGGAGTAGCAACTCTGTCAGCATGCTGAACTACAACACACGGACCATGTTTTAGTTTTTGTGGACCACTGGTGGTCCATGGGAACCATTAGAGATACCTTCCTGATGGCAAGAGCTGTTTGCTGCTGCCTCTGGAGGATTTTGAACAGATGCTGGATGGCCCTCTGTCAGGAAGGCTTTGCTTTTGTGTTCCTGCAAGGATAAATATTGTGTTTCTTTGGAGAGCGTACTATCTATGTGTTTGTGTCCTTTGCTTATTTAGTGCTTAGAACTGGTTATATTAACACGGTTGAAACTTAACCCAATTGTTTTGTCCTAGAAATGTCATTTCTTACGTGCATGAAACTTCGAGACACTACGCAATAACGTTATGTCTGTGGCGTAAAACTGAAAATCAAACTAATCATTAAAGGGCAAATAAAATGTATGAAGATGATGTCTCCTAGCCAGTTTTGCAACCTGCCGCCCTTTTGTAACAGATGCCTTTTCCTCCTCTTGCTGCAGATTGCTGAAGGCATGGCTTTCATTGAACAGAGAAACTACATCCATCGGGACTTGAGGGCCGCCAATATCCTAGTATCGGGAATACTGGTTTGCAAAATTGCAGATTTCGGCCTGGCCAGAGTGATTGAGGATAACGAATACACAGCCCGGGAAGGTAGGAAGGAAGGAAGAATCTGTGCCATTATTGCAAACTGCAATTTCCTCCTTCTGCTTTTATTTATATACCTGCACAGCTGTCTTTAAAATTGTATTTGTCACTTGCAGAGGCGGCCCTAGGTAATTTTCAACGGTAAGCAAACAGTATTTTGGTGCCCCCCCCACCCGCCAACCAATCACTGATATATATTTTCTGTTCGTCGTGGGAGTTCTGTGTGCCATATTTGGTTCAATTCAATCATTGGTGGAGTTCAGAATGCTCTTTGATTGTATGTGAACTATACATCCCAGTAACTACAACTCACATATGTCAAGGTCTATTTTCCCCCAAGAGCACCTCAAGAGTGCCCCTGGGCAAAATCAACTATACTGCAAATGCTTACTTTGCGTAATGGGTTGAGCCGCCCCTGGTCACTTGCGTGCTGTTGTATAACCCTCAATAGCTGAACAGAGGGGTAAAAATAACCTTAATGATTTGAGGATGCTTGCCATAGATGCAGGCAAAACGTCAGGAGAGAATGCTTCTAGAACTTGGCCACATAGCCTGAAAAACCTACAAAAACTTCTATTTTTCATTGTTTAAGGTAACTTTTTACCAAGTCCCAGTTTGTGTGCTTCTTTGGAATTCCTTCGTTCGGCGATAGCCAATAAGTTAGTTCTAGGTTGTTGTAGGTTTTTTCGGGCTGTAGGGCCATGTTCTAGAGGCATTTCTCCTGACGTTTCGCCTGCATCTATGGCAAGCATCCTCAGAGGTAGCCATAGATGCTTGCCATAGATGCAGGCGAAACGTCAGGAGAAATGCCTCTAGAACATGGCCCTATAGCCCGAAAAAACCTACAAGAACCTAGTGATTCCAGCCATGAAAGCCTTCGACAATACAATAAGTTAGTTCGTCCATGTTCATTATTTCCAGTATTTTATTTTGCCAATCTTCTCTTAGAGTTATTTCTTTCTGTCTCCAATTCTTTGCATATACAATTTGGGCTGCGGTGCTTAAGTAGTTGAAGATTATATCCTTGTTTTTCTCTCCTTCAAAGTCTGGTTCCTTTTTTATTTGTATTTTGGGAATCTTTTGTATGTCATTATGTACCATATTCCAAAATTCCTGGTAAAATGTTACCTTAAACAATGAAAAATAGAGCTCATTTCTTGAAGGAGAAAACAAGTTAAAGAAGAACCAAAATAGGGGAGCAACTCTTAACACTATTGTGGAAAAAATTCACAGAAGATCTTCAAAGAATAGATGGAAGTGCTTCCATTTCTTTGTTTTTCCCTTTTCTTTTCTCCCCCTCTTTTTTATTGGAGGGGACCTGCACACCCTAGGGACAAGCACTCTAATTTTTTCCATTTTCTTCATACTCCGGTATTTTTTGTTCTACTTTATTTCCTACTTTTCTATCTCCTCCACAATATCCCCCTACTTTCCATGTAACTATATACCCTTTCAATAAAAATTAACTTGGAAAAAAAGAAAAAAAAACATACAACAATCCAATCTTAATAACAACAATAATGCTATTTTTCAACTGAATCTCTACCCTCTTTCACTCTTTTCTCATTGGACAGGTGCCAAGTTCCCCATCAAATGGACTGCACCGGAAGCCATCAACTACGGCTCCTTCACTATCAAATCTGACGTCTGGTCTTTTGGGATTCTTCTGATGGAGATCATTACTTACGGACGGACCCCTTACCCAGGTTCGTGGAGCATAAAGCTCTGGATTTCTTGGTTTTAGGGCTTGGAGAGAGTGGGAGCCCTTTGTGGAAAGGAGACGGGGTGAACGATGGCTCTGGGAATTGCACTGGATGAACATGTCCCAACCTGGTGCTCCCTGAACCTTGTCTCCTGTGCAATGCTAATAATGTAATGTAATATATTGTATATACATACAATATTTATAATATTATAATGTAATGCAATATAATACTAATAATATGATATTATAATTATATATTTGTATTACATGTAATATTACTAATAATCTTATATAAATAAAAATGTAATGTTCGTTTGTGGGATTAACATAACTCAAAAACCACTGGGCAAATTGGCAGCAAATTTGGCCACAAGACACCAATCACGCCAATGAGTGTCCATCACCCCTAAAAACACACAAAAAACCCCAGCAGAACGGACTTTAAAACCCCCAAATTAAACCATATATACATATACACATACGTTCATACACATATACACAAGCACACATACATACAGACACACATGTATGCAAGCACACAGAAATATACACATATACACACCTATATATACACCTTACTTACTTACTACTTAGGCGATCCCTCGTTGGACGAGTAAGATGGTCTTCCATGATGGGTTTCCTTGTGGATTCGTAGGTGGCTGTGGAGCCCTATTCTTGACACCTACACACATATACGCATACATACACATATATAAATACACATATATGCATATACACAAGCACACACATATACACAATATACATATACACATATAAACACAGAAATATACCTATACACATGCACACATACATACAGACACACACACACATATATATACGCAAGTACACACAAATAAACACATATACATAAACATATATACACCTACATGCATATACATATACACATACATACACACATATATACACACATATATGCATATGCCCAAGCACACACATATACACAATATACACATACATACATATATAAACACAAATACACAAATATATACACACTTATACACACATAAATACACACACACACATATATACACACAAACACACATATATACACATATACACAAATATATACAAGACATAAACACATATATACACACACAAAACACATATACACAGACTGGGCCACAGCAACACATGGCAGGGGACGGCTAGTATTACTATATAATGGTGTAGTACAATATAGTAATACATAATACTGATATTGTACTATGCTAATAATATAATATATTGTATGAAAATATATCTTGTAAGCCGCTCTGAGTCCCCTTCGGGGTGAGAAGGGCGGCATATAAATGTCGTAAATAAATAAATAAATAAATCTGGATGGGTGAGGATTAGTGGCCCCCCAAATACATTGGAAGGCTGCCAGGTTAGGCGAAGCTGCCATAGATCATCACGGAGTAGGTCAGAACCAACATCCACTGGCTGGTGGATTCTAGGAATCGCAGCCCAAAAATCGTACTCTTCCAAGCTTTAGATCAAAAGTAGCAAACCTAGGGGAAAGGATTGTCAGAGGTGTAGATATTACTGTCAGGATGTGGAAATTACCTAACATTTTCTAAGTGACAGCACAGTTAATACCTCTGGTCTAACCATCTGTAAAAGAGTTAAGCCACTGTAATTAGGGTGTGGTGATTAATGCAATGGGAATAGTATATAGATTGTAGTTATATTGATTAAGTCACATGAGGGATAATTGGAGAGTGTGCTTGATAATTGCTGATGTGAGTAGTGAGGAAGAAAAAGCTGCAAAGTTTGTATATTTTGTATATACTTTGTATACTGCTGCAACAAAGGAGGAAGAGAAGCCTTCTTGCTCATTTGGGGAAGAACAAAAGTCTCTCTGTGTTTTGTTGCTTGGGCAGAAGACCACAACAACAGTGTTTTTGGATACCTGGTTCCTTAACTGGAACTAATAGAGTCACTTCTGCAAGAACAGGAGTTCTGTGACTGCATTGAACCCCTGACAAAGACTTGGCTCATGGTCCCTGTGCTGTCACGCGCTGGGCCTGTAATAATTGTCTTTTGAACAGGACTTGCAGATGAGTCCACCCAAGATGAGTCCACAGCAGACACTCTGCTGGCTGTTCTATTGGATCACACATCGGACACTTCCCAAGTTTGGCCAAATTTGGCCAAGTGTCTAGGACTGTGTGATGTATCGGCAAATAATGCGTGCAGATCCCAGTAAGGTGGCCTTCTGCAGCTGTCAGTACCAATTGTGTTTAAGTGCAGGCCAAGGTCTTTAGGCACTGCACCCAGTGTGCCCATCAGCACTGGGACCACCTTGACTGGCTTGTGCCAGAGTCTTTGCAGTTCAATCTTTAAATCCTCATATTCTGTCAGCTTTTCCAGTTGTTTCTCGGTTGTTTCTCAGTTGTTGTTGTTGTTGTTGTTGTTATTCTGTGGATATGGACAAGAGAAGGGTGACTAAATGGTTAAAAGGGGAATTAAATGGTCTGGAAACCAAGGAATGGCTTAGAGAGCTAGTTATACTTAGCATGGAGAAGACACAATAGCTATCTTTAGGCCTGTCATCATGTGCAAGATAGAGCAAGCTTATATTGTCGAAGGCTTTCATGGCCGGAATCACTGAGTTGTTGTAGGTTTTTTTCGGGCTATATGGCCATGTTCTAGAGGCATTCTCTCCTGACGTTTCGCCTGCATCTATGGCAAGCATCCTCAGAGGTAGTGAGGTCTGTTGGAACTAGGAAAATGGGTGGAATGACCAGGGTGGGACAAAGAACTCTTGTCTGTTGGAGCTAGGTGTGAATGTTTCAACTGACCATCTTCATTAGCATTTGATGGCCTGGCAGTTGTTTGGTGTGGCTTGTTAGTACCTGGGGCAATCTTTTGTTGAGAGGTGATTAGATGTCCTTGATTGTTTCCTCTCTGTTTTGCTGTTGTAATTTTAGAGTTTTTTTAATACTGGTAGCCAGATTTTGTTCATTTTCATGGTTTCCTCCTTTCTGTTGAAATTGTCCACATGCTTGTGGATTTCAATGGCTTCTCTGTGTAGTCTGACATGGTGGTTGTGAGAGTGGTCCAGCATTTCTGTGTTCTCAAATAATATGCTGTGTCCAGGTTGGTTCCTCAGGTGCTCTGCTATGGCTGACTTCTCTGGTTGAAGTAGTCTGCAGTGTCTTTCATGTTCCTTGATTTTATTTGGACAATGCTGTTTGGTGGTCCCTAGAGCAAGCTTGTTTTCTGAAGCTCCAGAGGATAGGACCCAATCCAATGGATTGAAATGACAATAAAAGAGATTCTGACTAAACATTATGAAGAACCTTCCTGACATAAAATGCTATCTGATAGTGAAATCAAACTTCTTGGGATGATGGTGGAGTCTCCTTCTTTTGTGTTGTTTATACACAACACCAAAGTTGTGTATAACTTGTTGTTATGGACTTTAGTTGTTTTGGACTAACTCCCACAATTCCTAACAGCCTACAGGTTGTTAGGAATTGTGGGAGTTGAAGTCCAAAACACCCAGAGGGCCCAAATTTGGCCATGCCTGTTGTACCCATTCATACACATGTCTTATCTGTTTTAATAATCCAGGGATGTCAAACCAGGAAGTGATGCGTGCCCTCGAGCGGGGCTACCACATGCCCCGTCCAGAGACCTGCCCAGCTGAACTCTATGACATCATGTTGCGGTGCTGGAAAAAGAAGCCAGAAGACCGCCCCACCTTTGAGTCCAATCAGAGCATCCTGGAGGATTTCTTCACCGCCACAGAAAGCCAGTATCAGCAACAGCCTTAAAAGACAGATACGTGAGAAAATGCTGGGGTGGGAAGGTCCATGCAGAGAACAATGCCAAGGTGGACCTCCAGATTTCCTGGTGGCTTAAGCAGAAGGAGCTTTCTTCATGTTGCCTGCTTTCAAAGGGATCTCAATGGCTACTGCTTGAAACTCTTCCTGCTTAGACTGAAACTTGATCTAACAAAAACAGTTTATGCATTCTTAATGAAAACATCATGAAAAAACCACAGCCAAACAATGCCGTTTCAGAAGGAAAGTGACATGCACTTTTTGTTTGAAGTTCTAGGAAAGAGCTTGGAAAAATCCACAGACTCGCCCATCTTTGGTGTTTTATGGCCAAAGCTGGATGGACATCTTTCAAGGCTGTTTTAGTTGTGTACTTCTGCATGGCAGATCAGTGGTTCCCAACCTGTAGTCTGTGGACCACCAATGGTCCACAAGAATGAAAATATGGTCTGTGGCCTCAGCATTACTACACCGTTGCCTTGAAACAACCTGGCAATGAGAGTGACTGGTCTTGCAAAACTCTTTTATAGTGTCAAAGCAATAGAGATGTCAGGAGAGGAGAGGCTAACTACCCAGGAAAGATTACTACTACCACATCAGCTCTAAATTAGGAAATATGGTTTTCTGTGGGCAAGCAGATGGCAACTACTGGATGGCATATGTTGTGTAACTGGAGCTGGTGTGGTCTATCCAATGCAATTTTCTGAATCAGCACCCCAAATAACTAAACTGGATCTAAAGTTTATTTTATTTACATTTGTACCATGCCCTTCTCACTCCTGAGGCCAAAAACCGATGCGTAACCCTTTTGGTATTAATGTTGGAGAGAGGTCTCTGGTCAAAAAAAGGTTGGGAACCACTGGACTAGATAGTCCTTGTGTTTCCTTCCAACTCTTTAAGATCTATTGGTTGCGATACCCAGAATTCCTCAACCAGCACAGCCATGGGAGTTGCAGTGAAGTTTTCATCCTTTGTTTCAAAATGTTTAATTGTGTGAGTGTTTGTGTGTGTGAGGAAAAAATGTTGTTTTAATAACTGGCTAGTCAAATATTGCTTTAAATATATTCATTCGTAGCACTCTAATCCAGCTGCCACCTGTCCTTTAATGCAAGGAATGGTTCCTAATTTAGGTGGCAAAGCCTAAGGAGGAACAGTTGAATTTAGTTTAGAGAAGGAGAGATTGAGAGATGACATGATAGAGTGTGCTGACACGCGCTGGGCCTATAGCAATTGTCTTTTAAAACAGGACGTGCTCTTTGTGCCCAGCGGGACGCCAGGATGCCTCGGCTGAGAGGCCCTATGGATTTTCCTAAACAAAGTCTTTAGAAACTTGGAAAGTTTATCAAAGTTTTTTATTATTGCTTAGATCTTCAACAAAACACACAAATTCTTCTTAACTTGCCCACAAAGGACAGGCAGCTTGCTTCGTGAACTATTTATTTCTTTTACAAGGAAAACCCTCCGACCCCTCCCTGGGCAATCTGTCTTTAGGCTGGCTGGCGTGGGGCCTTACTTCCAGTTCCAATTTGCTTTTTGGGTACCCGAGTAAACCTTACTGGCCAAAACTTTAGAGATTTTCCAGCTGGAGACCTTTGGATCTGTAAAACTGTTTTCTTCAGAAGCTTTAGGGCTGTCTTCCCCAAAGGCTTGCAGAGCTGTGAGGCTGTAAGTTCCCCAGCTAGAGCTTTGAGAACTGTCTTCCCCAGAAGCTTTGGGACTATTTCCCCCCTGAGCTTTGTAAGAAACGGAGCTTCTCTACAGGTGTGAAAAGCTCTCACGTCCTGTAACTGAGCTTCTAAACTGTAAGACTGAACTAAAAACTTTCTTTTCCCTCCCAAACCCCTGGGGAAAGGGGCGGAACTAAAGAACTTAACAATGATAGGGAGGTGGCTGACCCTATGGCTGCAGCCTGGAAGGAACCACCCAACTGCAAAATGTATGGCCAAAACAAACACATGCATAGAACGAAATTTTAGGCTTCTGGTACAGCTGTACCAGCACACAGAGCCAATGGCAGGGCTACAATCAAATGGAAGATGTTTCCTGCTGTTCTGCAGAATAAGACAAGAGCTCTTATGACAGAGACAACAATGTGATGCAGCAGCAAAATAGCCAATGGGATTTTGGCCTGCATCAAGAGGAGTGTAGTGTCTAGATCGAGGGAAGTCATGCTCCCCATGCTCTGTTCTACCTTGGTTAGACAACATCTGGAATATTGTGTCCAATTCTGAGCCCCACAATCAAAGAGAGATATTGACAAGCTGAAATGTGTCCAGAGGACTCCAAGATCAAGAGTCTGGAGAACAAGCCCTATGAAGAGCGGCTTAGAGAGCTGGGCATGTTTAGCTTGCAGAAGAGAAGGCTGAGAGGAGACATGATAGCCATGTATAAATAAGTGAGAGGAAGTCATAGGGAGGAGGGAGCAAGCTTGTTTTCTGCTGCCCTGGAGACTAGGACACAATGGAGCAATGGCTTCAAACTACAAGAAAGGAGATTCCACCTGAACATTAGGAAGAACTTCCTGACTGTAAGAGCCATTCAGCAGTGGAACTCTCTGCCCTGGAGTATGGTAGAGGCTCCTTCTTTGGAAGCTTTTAAACAGAGGCTGGATGGCCATCTGTCAGGGGTGCTTTGAATGCAATTTTCCTGCTTCGTGGCAGAATGGGGTTGGACTGAGGTCATGAGGTCTCTTCCAACTCTTTGATTCTATGATTCTGTACAAGAAAGGAGATTCCACCTGAACATTAGGAAGAACTTCCTGACTGTGAGAGCTGTTCAGCAGTGGAACTCTCTGCCCTGGAGTGTGGTGGAGGCTCCTTCTTTGTAAGCTTTTAAACAGAGGCTGGATGGACATCTGTCGGGGGTGCTTTGAAGGCAATTTTCCTGCTTCTTGGCAGAATGGGGTTGGACTGGATGGCCCACGAGGTCTCTTCCAACTCTATGATTCTATGAATGGCAGGACTACCATCAAATGGAGGATGTTTTCTGTAGCATAAGACAGAGCTCTTTCCTGCTGTTCTGTAGAACAGGACCCAACCCAAACGAATAAAATTGAGAAGGATTTTGGAGAATGTTCTGATTCAACATTAGGAAGAATTTCCTGACAGTATCAATCAGATACTGCCAAGGGCAACATGGATGGATTGCATGGTGGAGGCTCCTTCTTTGGAAGCTTTTAAACAGAGGCTGGATGGCCATCTGTCAGGGGTGATTTGAATGCAATATTCCTGCTTCTTGGCAGAATGGGGTTGGACTGGATGGCCCAGGAGGTCTCTTCCAACTCTTTGATTCTATGATTCTATCCTTGAAGTGACTGGCTTGACTCTGAAGGAGCTGGGGGAGGTGACGGCCGACAGGGAGCTCTGGCCTGGGCTGGTCCATAAGGTCATGAAGAGTTGGAAACGACTGAACGAATGAACAACAACAACAATAAACCAATCAGACTTTATTTATATCCTGCCCCAGCTCCCTTTGGGGACTCAGGGTGGCCAAAAGCTGTTTGGCAGTGATGTGGACTACCTTTGAAAGGATTCTCCTTCCTTATGGGTTCTGTTCCATTGGGTTTGGATAGACACCAGTCACTGATGTGGGATAAAGCTATCAAGGCTTGACTAGATGACCCTTTGAATCCCTTTTACCTCTTTGGTTTACGAGTTTAATACATGTGCATTAAAAAATAAGGAAGCATTTGTGGAAATGAGGAACTAGTGGTGAGCTTAACTGGAAGGGAAAGGTATATATGAATTGCAAAACCCTATTATGAGTCAGAAATGCTAAACTCTGATAATCAGCTTCATATTTCTGATAGTGACAAAAATAATACGCAAATGAAATTCAAGAGGTCAAAAGGTTCTACTTTGGTTTTACTTGGGAGTACCAGAGGAAGCTTAAATGTTCACAAATGAATTCAAAAATTGGGTTGTTGTAGGTTTTTTTCGGGCTATATGGCCATGGTCTAGAGGCATTCTCTCCTGACGTTTCACCACCAAACGCAGCATTGCCCAAACACGAATCAAGGAACATGAAAGGCACTGCAGACTACTTCAACCAGAGAAGTCAGCATAGCAGAGCACCTGATGAACCAACCTGGACACAGCAGATTATTTGAGAACACAGAAATGCTGGACCACTTTCACAACCACCATGTCAGGCTACACAGAAAAGCCACGGAAATCCACAAGCATGTGGACAATTTCAACAGAAAGGAGGAAACCATGAAAATGAACAAAATCTGGCTACCAGTATCAAAAAACTCTAAAATTACAACAGCACAACAACAGAGAGGAAACAAACAAGGACATCTAATCACCTCTCAACAAAAGTTTGCTCCAGGCACTGTAAGGCCATTATATGCTAATCAAGGTGGTCAGTTGAAACATTCACACCTAGCTCCAGCAGACAAGAGTCCTTTGTCCCACCCTGGTTTTCCCACAGATATATAAACTCTTTTTTCCTAGTTCCAACAGACCTCACTATCTCTGAGAATGCTTGCCATAGATGCAGGCAAAATGTCAGGAGAGAATGCAACTAGAACATGGCCATATAGCCCAAAAAAAAACTACAACAACCCAGTGATTCCAGCCATGAAAGCCTTTGACAATAAATTCAAAAATTACAAACACGAGTCAGATTTTAAATAGGAGTAGAAGATGGACTTGTGTCCGGACTAGATTACCAAAAGAACGAAGAGGAAAAATCTCAGCCTAACCTCTCATGGTCCTTTGATTTCAGTGGATCCCTCGATGGCATTAAGGGGGGGGGGGTATTAATTTTAAAAAAGGGGGGGCATTAATACAAATCCATTTTTGGCTCCTTGAAAAGTTAGACTGCCATCTAGTAGCTCATAGCCAATGAACAGTATGTGACTGATTTGTACTTGCTTAGAAGTTGTTGAGAAGGACCTCCATTCCTTTTTTTGAAGTGTCTACTCCAGCTAAATGTTTGCATCTCTCCTTCGAAGCAACACCTCGAACAAACATTGGGTTGTTGTGAGTTTTCCAGGCTGTATGGCAATGTTCCTGAAGCATTCTCTCCTGATGTTTCACCTGCTTCTATAGGAGCCCCCGGTGGCGCAGTGGGTTAAACCCCTGTGCTGGCAGGACTGAAGACCAACAGGTCACAGGTTCGAATCCGGGGAGAGGCGGATGAGCTCCCTCTACCAGCTCCAGCTCCTCATGCGGGGACATGAGAGAAGCCTCCCACAAGGATGATAAAAACATCAAATCATCTGTGAGAGCTGTTCAGCAGTGGAACTCTCTGCCCCGGAGTGTGGTGGAGGCTCCTTCTTTGGAAGCTTTTAAACAGAGGCTGGATGGCTATCTGTCAGGGGTGATTTGAATGCAATATTCCTGCTTCTTCGCAGGGTGTTGGAGTGGATGGCCCAGGAGGTCTCTTCCAACTCTTTGATTCTATGATCCGGGCGTCCCCTGGGCAATGTCCTTACAGATGGCCAATTCTCTCACACCATAAGCGACTTGCAGTTTCTCAAGTCTTTCCTGACACAACAAAAAAAAAACTGCTTCTATGGCAGACATCCTCAGAGGTTGTGAGCCTGCCATAGATGCAAGCGAAATGTCAGGAGAGAATGCTTTGGGAGCATGGCCATACAGCCCGGAAAAGTCACAACCACCCTATGATTCCAGCCATGAAAGCCTTCGACAAGGAAAACATTGTTTTGTTTCCTGGGCTACAACTCTGCTAGAAAAGCTTTTGGAAAAAAATCAAAGAAGTATTTCCACCGTGAAATGCTGCAAGCTTTCTTATTTTTGTTCTAGCCTTTCTTAGGGCAGCAGAACTGCTGAGATTTTGAAACAAACAGCAATATGTTTGTCGCTTCAGCATAAAAAATTACAAGATAAATGTTGCATCTAGAAATATTGGTTTCAGGAGTATTATATGGCCCAAGGACTCAAAATGCAGTGCTTTGTATTGATGGAATTGCAACGTATCTATCCTTGTTTTGTGACACCTCAAAGCAGTCGCTGTGGCAATGGGCTGATCCCATACAGGTGAGCATTATTGTGATCCCTTGCTCCAATACCTGTCCTGTTTTGGTTTTGTACACAGCCAATTTAAATGAAACCCCAGGATTCTGAATGACGCAGCCATTGCGATTGAAGTGGAAACATAGTGCTAGAATTGCACAGTGTAAACAGGGCCTGAGTTGGTAATCTCAATGGATGCTCACATTAGGCTTTCTATTAACAACTGGACACATCTAATACCTAAAATCTTACAACTGGACACCTCTAATACCTAAAATTCCCTTCTGAGACCAGGATGAAGGAAGAGAACCCAAATGTGATTTGATTAAGCGTATTTACTTTGTATATTTTGACATATATCGATGTAAACTATATTTTGCGTCTTTTATAACAGTAAACGTTATAGAAACTCTTCTGCTGTCTTTTCTGGCTGAGGTACGGTAAAAGTTTGTCCCTGACATTAAGTCCAGTCGTGTCTGACTCTGGGGGTTGGTACTAATCTCCATTTCTAAGCCAAAGAGCAGGCATTGTCCGTAGACACCTCCAAGGCCATGTGGCCAGCATGACTGCATGGAGTGCCGTTACCTTCCCACCGGAGCAGTACGTATTAATGTACTCACATTTGCATGTTTTCGAACTGCTAGAATGGCAGAAGCTGGGCCTAACAGCGGGAGCTCACCCCACTCCCCGGATTCAAACCACCAACCTTTTGGTCAGTAAGTTCAGCAGCTCAGCGGTTTAACCTGCTGTGCCACCAGGGGGCTGTAGGCTGCGATAATTTTGGAAATATGGGATGTGAACGTAATAGGATTCTATACCTGCATGACCCCAAAGCATCACTGACCAACTGTATTGGAACATGACATTTAACCATGGTTTGGTATTACAAGAAGGCACCTAGCTCCCTCTGGACATTTCCCATGTCAATATCATGCATCAGAGATATTGGCTTGTGTTACAGAGTGAAAGCAGTTTATTCTGTAATTTTGTGTTTTAATAAAACTTTATTTATATCCTTTATTATGGCAACCAGACTGATTGAGAACAGGCAAATAGAGGGAGAAATCGTGGAGGCAGTGACAGACTTTGTATTTCTAGGTGCAAAGATGCAGAGATGCAGTCTGCATCCTCAGATACTGAGGATGCAGACTGCAGCCAGGAAATCAGAAGACGCTTCCTTCTTGGGAGGAGAGCAATGTCCAATCTCGATAAAATAGTGAAGAATAGAGACATCACACTGGCAATGAAGATCCACATAGTCAAAGCAATGGTCTTTCCCGTAGTAACCTATGGATGTGAGATCTGGACCATAAGGAAGGCTGAGCGAAGGAAGATGGACACTTTTGAACTGGCAAATAACATGGCAAGGTTGTGTCTTATCTAACATGGATGGTGATAAGAATAAGAATAATACATATTATTATAACATCCCTCTCGTTCTCTCTTAGATTCAAACATCCAAACTTTTTGTAGCTACATCAGAGAAAACGTAGCTTGCCCATGTCGGCATCAAATTAATTAGGCGATCCCTCATAGTCCGAGGATGATGATCCTCCAAGTGTAGTATCCTGGCGGTGGGT